AATAATCCTTTCACATCCAACAGGTGATATGTGCTCTGTGCTCCCCACCTGTGTGCCCCCTAACTCACCAACTATAGTGGACTCTTATTGTGAATTAAGAGTCATTCACGCTTTGGTGGGGCATGAAGAGTTATGCTGGATCTTGTAGTCCTCCTGGTTATATAATGCTTGCCATCCTCCGTGATCCAGATAAAGAGCTGGTAAAAGGTACATACACATAAGGAATGGAAAAAGACATCCCAATAGTTTAATTCTGTTTATTGGCTTAAAATCTGAAACTCTGATATTGCACTCACATGTTTCCAGAGAAAATAAGCATGAATAGTCAGCTATACAACAGTAAATCACTTGTGCTCTTCAGACACATTGGGGTTTATTTACTAAAGCTGGAGAGTGCAAAATCAGACTCACTTCTGCATAGAAACCAATCAGCTTTCCAGGCTTTTCATTGCCAAAGCTTCATTGAACAAGCTGAGGTTAGAAGCTGATTGGTTTCTATGCAGAAGGGAGTCTGATCTTGGACTCTCCAGCTTTAGTAAATAAACCCCATTATGTCACATTATTTATTTTTTATTATTCATTTCTATTTATTTGTATTTAAGATGTATGTAATTTATTTAATAATTGGGGCAGTGCTTCTTAGTTTGTGTGATAAGTTTATTGACATTTATTTGTTTTACTCTGTAGGCTATTTTTATTTTATTTTTAATATGTGACCATAGCAGAGGACTAGAAGCTCCTCCTGCCACTGTTTCCCTGCAGACAGGCTGGGAAAGAGCTTTGTCATGTGACAGCTTTATATGTATTAGGAAAAAGGTACTTAGATATGGTGAGTTTTTTTTTTTTTTTTTTTTTTTTTAATTAAAATCATTACAGTGCCATAATCCATATACAGAAAGAGAAGGGACCATGTACACTATACAGTGTGTGCAATACAGATCAGTCCTGGAGTTCAGCTTTAAATGAACCAACATTCATTCTTTCAGCTTTGTTTCCACTGAATGGCCTGTTGTTTCTCATTCCTCTGTACTGTACCCAGAAAAAAAGTTTTAGTTTTGATCTTTTCATCTGTTCATCTCTGCTGAAACCCTTAATAGTGTGATGAATATTCATAGGCACCGTTTATAGAAAACCATCTTTGTTCCCAGTGGAACCGCAGCAGAATGAGGGGAAATGAGTATCTGCCTGTTTTCCATATCCCTCCATCCCATTCCTAGCTGCGCCTAGAGTTTGTCCACAAGGGCTGCCGGTCTTTACTCCCCGTCTCTGAGGGGTAATTACATATAACACTGTGCTGGAGGAAAGCCCCAGGATGAAGGGGGGTGAGCCTTGCGCGTCCTGCAATTGTTTCCGTAGTACAGAACAATTAGGCTAATGTTTGCTGCGCTAATAGCATTCAGCAGTAGAAAGGAGTATATTGATGGTAGCTCCTTGTCCTGTTGTCCTAGTGTGGCCCTTTACTCAGAGAGGTCCAAATGCCCATTATAATGAGGAGCTGCTCCCTAACCCTGTGTGTGTTTAGTGGCCACATTTCCTGCAGCTATTCTAAGGCATGGATTGTTCCTTCTGAATAAAATGCATAGTGTTTAAGCTTCCTCTTAAAGTGGAAAAAAGAACTAAACTTGTATTTTTGGGAAGTGGTACAATAAGAATACTTGTTCTGGAGCATCTCCTGGTTGCTAGAATGATTAAGTGTGGCAGCTCAGTAATGACTTCCTTGCTTTCAACATTATGTAGCTGCTCATACAATGCACCTTATAGTGGCTTTATTATACCCTTTGTAATATACCAGCTGCATCTCATCTCCTGCTCTTCATCATATAGTAGCTATGCTGCACACCCTATCTTGTAGCAGCTTTACGTCCACACAATACACGACACAGTAGCTGTGATGACATGTTGCTCTTTGAAGCTACTGTTTTGTTTAACTAGTCTAGGATTGAGCAAGAACGCTTGTGCTCAAAAATACATTTTACAGGCTTTTGACTTTTTAGTTTTTTTTTTTTTTTTTCTGCCCCTAAATGCCTCACCATGTTAGCCTACGTGTCCATGAACACATGTTTGCAAGCGTTTAGAGGCAGAAAACAAATTGTGCATTGAAGAGAGGAGCATTTTGGCAGAAAAGACGCCTAAATGTAAATTAATTTTCTGGCCAATGAAAAAAACCAAAGGCCCAAGTGTTTGCCATGCCTAAATGCTCCTAAAAGCGTTTGCAAAAATGCGGCTTGGGTGTGTTTTTTGAAGCTACTTTTTTACAAAAGTCCCAGTGTGCATGAAGCCTAAAATCTTTACGTTCGTTAGCTGCTCTTGATGATACTTCTATTTTATTAATATAAAATTAGGGCGTTGACACATGAGGATTGAGAATATGCTTGCTGGAGCCAGAAAAATGAGATACCATGGCTCAAATGATAGGAAAAACTATGGGTAATACCTCAGCATGTCATCCTTTTTGTATAAAGGAAATTGGATAATTGTGTTTTTATTCAGTGAGTGCATTCCTTTTTACCAGTATGTTTGCCATATCATTTTGTGTTAAAGGAGAAGTATGGCCAAAGCTTTTTTGGCTCTATTTCTCCTATAAATCACAGGATTGCCATTTGTTCGGCGTCCCTGTGAGCTTTAGCCCTCTGTTAGCTGACATCACAGAGCTGGTCCATGCTCTGGAAAGATCCCGACCACATGGTCCGGATCCGCCAAGACGCCTGGCTGGCTGGTGGCTTATCCTGAGCCGCTGGCTGGTGGCTCAGCCTGAGCCAGCCACTCCTGCCCCATCTACAGCCTGGCACTCTAGTGAGTGACTGACAGTCACCAGCTCTCTCTGCTCAGTGAAGACCATGATCAGAGGTCTTCGATGGTTCAGTTCTCAGACTTAGAAGTGGCGGAGGATATATATATATATATATATATATATATATATATATATATATATTACACTCAGGTAAAACTCGAAATTGTTTTGAATATCGTGCAAAAGTTAATTTATTTCAGTAATGCAACTTAAAAGGTCAAACTAATATATGAGAGATACTCATTACATGCAAAGCAAGATAGTTCAAACCGTGATTTATCATAATTGTGATGATTATGGCTTACAGCTCACACAAAACCCCAAATCCACAATCTCAAAAATTAGATTATTGTGAAAAGGTGCAATATTCTACACCCTCAAAGTGTCCCACTCTAATTAGCTAATTAAGCCATAACACCTGCAAAGGGTTCCTGAGCCTTTAAATGGTCTCTCAGTCTGATTCAGTAGGAATCACAATCATGCAAAAGACTGCAGGACCTGACTTATTGTGCAGGAAAACCATCTTTGACACCCTCCAGAAGAGGGAAAGCCTCAAAAGGTAATTGCAAAAGAAGTTGGATGTGGCCCCAAAGTTCTGCTTCAAAGCACATTTCTAGAAAGTTATGTGGAAGGGAAAAGTGTGGAAGAAAAAGGTGCACAAGCAGCAGAGATGACCGCAGTTTGGAGAGGATTGTCAGGAAAAGGCCCTTCAAAAGTGTTGGGGACTTTCACAAGGAGTGGACTGAGGCTGGAGTCAGTGCATCAAGAGCCAGCACACACAGACGGATTGAACCTGGACATGGGCTTACCGTAATGTGTTATTCCTCTTGCCAAGGCCTCATTTTGGCAGTGTGGGCAGGCGTCTTACCTGGCTTAAAGAAAAACAGACCTGGTCTCATCAGTGGGCCACAAGTCCTCTTTTCTGATGTGAGTAACTTTTGAATCTCATTTGGAAACCAAGGACCCAGAGTATGGAGGAAGAATGGAGAGGCACACACTGCAAGATGCTTCAAGTCCAGTGTGAAGTTTCCACAGTCTGTGTTGATTTGGGGAGCCATGTAATCTGCTGGTGATGGTCCACTGTGCTTTATTAAGTCCAGGGTCAACGCAGCAGTCTACCAGGAGATTTTGGAGCACTTCATGTTTCCTTCCACAGACGAGCTTTATGGGGATGCTGACTTCATTTTCCAGCAGGACTTGGCACCTGCCCACACTGCCAAAAGCACCAAAACCTGGTTCAATGACCGTGGGATTACTGTGCTTGATTGGCCAGCAAAACTCACCTGACCTGTAACCCCATAGAGAATCTATGGGGCATTGCCAAGAGAAAGATGAGAGACATGAGGAACAATGCAGAAGAGCTGAAGGCCGCTATTGAAGTATGCCTGGTCTTCCATAACAGACTCAGCAGTGCCACAGGCTGATAGCTTCCATGCCACGCCGCATTGAGGCAGTAATTGCTGCAAAAGGGGCCCAAACAAGTACTGAGTACATATGCATGCTTATACTTTTCAGAGGTCCGATATTGTTCTATGTACAATCCTTGTTTTATTGATTGCATGTAATATGCCTAATTTTCTGAGATTGTGGATTTGGGGTTTTCATGAGCTGTAAGCCATAATCATCGAATTTGACAAATCACGGCTTGAACTATCTTGCTTTGCATGTAATGAGTCTATCTCATATAATTATGTTTCACCTTTTAAGTTGATTTTCCCCCCCCCCCCCCCCCCTCCATTACTGAAATGAAAAAAAAAAAAAATTTTTTAATGAACCCCCTGTTAGCCAAACTTTAGATTTTAAATATATGTCCACTTTAGAATGTGTAGAAACGTGATTCATTTGTACCAGCCTGCTTGGTAAAACACGTTTGCTGGTGAGCATTGTGTAGGGGTGGCATCTTGGACAATGAATAGCTTCACATTAAAAGCAGCTAGAAAGGTCAGGCTTATTGTAAAGCTCATTTACTGCTTGTTAGGAAAATGGAAAACCGTTTAATGTGTGTAGCCTGGGCACAGATGCACTCTTAAGTGCTTATGTTGCAGTAAGAATGAGCATCTCACCCAGAAGCCGTAACCTTCATTTAGGTCAGTGTCTGATGAAGAGTGATTTGATATTTTAGCCATGTACTTGTTTCTGTAATAACGTTCCCCACACTGTTGATGAGAGCTGTGACTCATTTCACACAGGGTAATGTTCCAGTCCAGACATGCCTTATGTGGATCGTCAGAATCGCATTTGTGGCTTCCTGGACATCGAGGAGCATGAAAACAGTGGCAAGTTTCTGCGGAGATATTTTATCCTGGACACCAGCCAAAATAGCCTGCTTTGGTACATGGACAATCCACAGGTGAGCCAGGCACAGACAATGTGTACACAGCAATGATATGGTGCATTGAATGCTTCAGAAATGTATTTAGATCAAGCCAGGCTGTCTGTTATGCTACTGCCCGCTCATCATTTGTGGTTTGCTTTTAACCAGGTGAATTAGTGCCCATATCCTTTGCTAGTTTTATGTATAATCAGTTGTGGTTTTTATATTGCTGTAGTTGTTTTCTTGTTTCTAGTGTAAGTTAATTTTTCTTTTTTTATTTCCGCATGTATTCTGATTTTTGCAGAACCTTCCTGCAGGTTCCCCTTCTGTAGGGTGTCTTAAGCTCACATATATTTCAAAGGTAAGCTTTTTATCATTTTGAGAACTGTCAAAACAAGTCCTGTCACCTATTGCTTTCCATTTCTGCCTGAGGACTTGCCTATTTATTTTTGTTGGTCTCATCTCATGCTCTTGGTTGACAGGTGAGCGATGCCACCAAGCTCAGACCAAAGGCTGAATTTTGTTTTGGTGAGTAAATGATTGATGACTTTGGTTGTATGTTTTTCCAGTGTTGCTTCATGCAATTTCCAGTAAAGCGTTAATTTCCATTCTTGCACAGATACATTAATTGGACTGTAAATTTACCGGAGAGTTTTATTCCATATGCCATAAGGCTGACTTTTCAAAATTAGAGGAAAGAAGGTGAAGATGTGGCCACAAACTAAATTTCAGCTTATGTTTTTCTAATAGAGAATACAAAATAAGATTCCTTCCTTATATATTTGTTGTTGCTCTGTAGGCTATGAGCAAATTACCAGTATGTGTGACTAACACATGTGACATTGCACTGTTAAGGCAGTAGTAAAGGCTGCCGGAAATTAAATAAAATCTTCCCCTTCAAAACACTGTCATAATGTGCTAGTATGTACCACATACTAGCACATTACTTAAGACATGCCTAAAACATAGCCTCCAGCGGCTCTGTCCCCGCTGATATGGCTTCCATCTTCATCTGGTCCTCCTTCTTCCTGATTCTCCAGGTGTTTGAATGGCTGAGCTGCAATGATGTAATTCCCGCACATGTGCACGGGAGTCATGGCCGTGGCACAGAACCTTGGAGGAATGGCATGCGTATGCTGTCCCTTCAGAGTGCATGCACGGGTGGCCTCACCAGCTGCAAAGACAGTGAATATCTCCTGTATTGTGCACATTTAGGAGATATTCCTTTCACATACAGGTAAGCTTACCTTAGGCACATGTATCCAAGAGGTGTTTACTAACGCTTTAAAGGGTATCTAAAGTCTAAACGTTTATTTTTAGTTATAGTTGGGAAGCCTATGAACCTGCCTGGGGGAGATTTACTCTTTTTGTTTTGTCCTGGTAGCCATTGTCACACAGTTGTTGGTAAAAAAAAGGTGGTAATGGAAAATTGCCCATTGTGGGCACCTGTTGTAGTGATAACTGTGTAAGAGGGCATTTCCCTTGCTTGCAACTATTTTCACTGACTTTGCCAGTAGCAGCTGTAACATTTTGGAATCCCCCTAGTTACCTATCCTGGAGACAGTTCTTACTTCCAGTGTAGTAATCAGGGAAGCCTCCCCAACGGCACACAGCTTAAAAGCTAACTACAAAACTAAAAGGGGTTTTAAACCCTAAGGCCATATTGTTATGATTAGAGAAGGGATAGGCATCCTTCATAGCTGGATACACAGGTGGTTGCGGATAGTTGCAGCCATTCAGCCTGTGCAAAGTAATGACAGGTTGACAGCAGGCACAGCTGTCTTGCGGGTGTTCAGATGTAATCACACATGGATCAGTTACCTGCGGTTAGGGACAGATGATCACCCCTGGATGCAAACATTTACCTGCTCACTGGCTTTTTATTTCTGTAAAGGACTCCAGTGCCTAAAGTATAACTACAGGTAAAACTTTATTAGTTTTGGACACGGTATTAGAACACCTTTCTGTTTTTTATTGCAGTCTGTGCCCCCATTAGGGAGATTCATCCTCTCCATTTCTCCCTGTTTACCATTATCCTAGAAAGTGAAAGTAAAAGAAAATACTAAAGTTTGGGTTGTCCCCAGGAAAGTAGTAGAGGGGAAATCTTCAAATGGGGACACTAGTTCTGGTGACCTGGGGGTCGCCAAAGAATTCCCTTCATTTTTTGGGATTTCCTCTAATTTCCTGCTTGGCTGTGGGACAGGAAGTAAAAGTAAATCTCTGCAATGGGACACAAATGGCAAAAAATCTGACAGGGATTATAACCCTCCCTTGCTCTATTCAAAATGGGGGGGGGGGGGTTGCCTATTGTTCTACTTTATTATAAGTTTAGTTGTGAATGCTCCACTTCACCCTCCTGGTATAGGTATTGTAATGGTGCATTGATACCACTGAGATATTATCCATGTATTCATTCATCATTCATTCTACATAACAGCAGGGTGAGGATTTTCTTTCTTCCTAATGGCTGGGGTGGAAAGAGTGGAGCCATTGGTACAACCTCTGGCATGTAGGAGTCGGTGTGTAATTAGATTTTAGAAATGTATCTTTTAAAATAGGTCATCTTACTCTTTAAAATAGCCAGACTTTATCTTGTTTTTATGTGATAGTTAGTCATATATCCTATGTCCCCCTGTTATCAGATACTACAGGTGCATTAGGCTGGGCTTCTACAGGCTTTGATTTTTGTTGGACTCTCAGGCAGAAAGTCGGAGCTGTCTTAATATGGTAATACAGAACTATTTTAGGATTTGCTGTGTCCTACAAAATGTATCACTCTATAGAAAGCATCTCTTTGCTTGAACTGAAATTCCTATTGATCTGTATTTAGATAAACACCCTTACTTCTACTTTCAGGAGCTTGTTTAAATAACTGATTTCTGTCCAGCAGACCCTCCTGAGATCAGCTATTTTAAGTCCAAGCTTCCTGTATAGATGTGCATCATTTTCCTCTCTTCCTGAGCAGCTTCCTTGCTATCTAACTCATGCTACGTTTAAGATGTCGCTGTCCTTCTTTGAAAACTAAGCACAAAGGAAAAGGGTTCTCGATGGCTGAAAAAATAATAGTTTGGTAATAAATATAGTTTGGAATCCTACACTTTGACTCTCTGACATTGTGCCTCCTTGACATAGCAGGTACGGGCAGATTATTTGTAGATTAGGGAAGTCAGAAGGCATAAAAACATTGTTTTGTTTTTTTTTTAGATTTTTTTCCTGCCTTGTGCCATAGAATATTTTAGGACACTGATGAGAACGGTGTAACTGAGATTTTTTGTGGGGATAGTAGTTTCAATAGCTAAGGAATTAAAAGTAGCAGAAGGCTGTAATGGAAAATACAACAGTTGATGCTGGTAAACACTGGTGCAGAACTAAACACACACACTCTCCCTCTCCCCCCCCTCTCCCCCCCCCTCTCCCCCCCCTCCCCCCCCCCCCCCCTCTCCCCCCCCTCTCCCTCCCTCCCCCTCCCCCTCTCCCTCTCTCCCTCTCCCTCTCTCCCTCTCCCCCCTCTCCCTCTCCCCTCCCCCTCTCCCTCTCTCCCTCTCCCCCTCTCCCCCTCTCCCCCCCTCTCCCCCTCTCCCCCTCTCCCTCTCTCCCTCTCCCCCCCCCTCCCTCTCCCCCTCTCTCTCCCCCTCTCTCTCTCCCTCCCTCTCCCCCCCTCTCTCCCTCCCTCTCTCCTCCCTCCTCTCCCCCCCTCTCTCCCCCCCTCTCTCCCTCCCTCTCTCCCTCCCTCTCCCCCCCCTCTCTCCCCCCTCTCCCCCCCCTCCCCTCCCCCCTCCCTCTCCCTCTCTCCCCCCTCCCTCTCCCTCTCTCCCCCTCCCTCTCCCTCTCTCCCCCCTCCCTCTCCCTCCCTCTCCCTCTCTCTCCCTCTCCCCCCCCTCTCTCTCCCTCTCTCCCTCTCTCCCTCTCTCCCTCTCTCCCTCTCTCCCTCTCTCTCTCTCTCTCCCTCTCTCCACACATGTTTAGATTTCCCCATGGCAAACCAGAGTAATCACTCCTACCATCCATATTAACCAGTGTGGATGGAGGAATTCCCTAATTTTTTCCCTTAGGCACCAGATTTTCTGTTTAAAAGTGATCTGAGTGGCGGATTTGCCGCTGGATCACTTTTAGAAGTGATGGGAGTAGTTGCAACTTTCTGGTGGTTCCCAGGCTTACCTGGCTGATTAGTGAGCCTGGGAACTGATCTAGTGCTGAATTGAGTGAAGGAAAGATGGCCTCCACTCATCTCGATGACCTAGGAAGACCAGAGTGACAACATGACGTCACTTTCGGTTCCAGCGCCATGTCAGCAATGCAATTTTTTTTTTCTTTAAAAAGATCAAAAAAAAGTTTTTGGTTTTTGTTCCTTTGATTTTAAAGGTAGAGGAGAGATTTGGGGTCTTATTGACCCCAGATGTCTCCATAAAGAGGACCTGTCATGCTGTATTGGTATCGCCAGGGATGTTTAAATTCCTTGCAATAGTAATAAAAGTGATACAGAAAAAATTTTCAAGGGATAGTGTAAAAGTTTAAAATTTTTTAAAAAGTGCCCTGCCCCCCCAAGTACACACGCGCAGTGGTGAACGCATACGTTGGTCACGCACATATATGTAAACTGTTCGCACCACACGTGAGGTATTGCCGTGAATGTCAGAGCGAGAATTCTAGTACTAGACCACCTCTATAACCCTAATCTGGTAACTTGTAGAAATGTTTAAAGCATCACCTATGGAGCGTTTTAAGTACCGTAGTTTGGCGCAATTTTAAAGCATGACATGTTAGGTATCTATTTACTCGGCGTAACATGAACCTTCTTATTTTGCAAAAAAATTGGTGCATAAAATGTGTTTTATTTTTTTAATTCATTAAAGTGTATTTTTTCCCCAAAAAATGCATTTGAAAAACCACGGAGCAAAAACGGCTTGACATAAAAAATTGCAAACACCAACATTTTATTCTCTAGGACCTCTGCAAAAAAGAAATATACACTGCTCAAAATATTAAAGCAACACTTTGAATGCGCCTCAGATCTTAACCACTTGCCTACCAGGCACTTACACCCCCTTATTTACCAGGCCAATTTTCAGCTTTCAGCGCTGCCGCACTTTGATTGACAATTGCGCGGTCATGCAACATTGTATCCATATGAAATTTTGATCATTTTTTCTCACAAATAGAGCTTTCTTTTGGTGGTATTTAATCGCCACTGGGCGCTTTACTTTTTGTGCTATAAATAAAAAATTGCCAAAAATTTGAAAAAAAAAAAAAAAGTTTCTTTGTTTCTATTATAAAATTTTTCAAACAGGTAATTTTTCTCCTTCACTGATGTGCGTTGATGAGGCAGCACTGATGGGCACTGATAGGCGGCACTGATGTGCGTTGATGAGGCAGCACTGATGGGCACTGATAGGCGGCACTGATAGGCAGCACTAAAGGGCACTGATAGGCAGTACTAATGAGGTGGCACGGATAGGCGGCACTGATAGACAGCACTAATGAGGTGGCACGGATAGGCGGCACTAATATGCAGCACTGATAGGCGGCAC